TCCTTCTTTCAAACTGCTTTATTTTGAAATAATTATAGATGCACAGGAAGTTGTGACGAAATTACCAGGAGGCCCCTCGTCCCTTCATCCAGCTTCCCCCACGGACGGTGTCCTGCACAGTCCCACAGCAGCATGGAGGCCAGGAGGGTGGCGTCGGAACAACCCACAGAGCTGGCTCAGAGCTCCCCAGTCCACGGGCACTGTGTGTGCGTGTAGCTCTTTGCCACTTGATTACATGTGTGGACTTACGTGACCACCACCACAATCAAGGCACAAAATGGGCCGTCCCCATTAGGTCCCTCACGCCACCCCTTGGCAGTCCCACCCGCCTCTCCACCATCCCTCACTCCTGTCAGCCATGATCTGTTCTCAGTGTTTATAAATGGAACCGTAGGCAGATCCCCTCTGGAGTTTGGCTTTTCCACCAACTTGATTTCCTTGAGGCCCATCCAGTTTGTTGCATATATCCCCAGTCCCTTGTGGTTGCTAAGTCGTCGCTGAGGTGTGGTGGTGCCGAGCGGTGGCTTCAGTCACCCACGGAAGGTGGTGGTTTCCGGTTTGGGGCCGTGACAAACGACGTGTCAGTGGCCATTCTCATGCAGGTTCCTGGGCAAACGCAGGTGCTCGTCCTCCAGGCTCAGCGCCCAGGGAGTACACTTGTTTTCAGTTTAAGAGATGCCGCCGAGCTGTTTGCCAGGGTGGCTGTGCCACGTTACCATCCCACCAGCGGGGCGACCAGTTTCTCTGCGTCCTCACTGGTGCTGATGCTGTCGCCATTTTGTATTGTGGCCATTCTGATGGGTGCCCACTTGTATCCCGTGGGGAGTTCAGTTTGCATCCTTGGTGGCTGACGCTGTGGCATTTCCACATGCTTCTTTGTTTGTCATTGGATGGCTTCTTTGCCAGAATGGCTGTCCCTGCCTTTTGTCCATTTTCTTATCAGATTGTGTCTTTGTACTGTTGAGTGGTGGGGACTGTAGTCTAGCTGCTGTCTGCCTGCCAGGTATGTGATGTGCATGTATTTGCTCCCAGTCTGCAATTCCACTTTCTGGAAACTTCCAGAATGAGTTTGTCTGTGTCCACAAAGAACCTGGCTGAGATTTTGGTAGGAATCATGTTAAAACTACAGATCGGTTTGGGGAAAGCTGGCATCACTACTCTGGCAGGTCTTCTGATCCATGAACATAGTCCTTTCTACAATAGTCCTTTGATTTCTTTCACCAGCATGTTGAAACTGTCAACCTGCAGACTCTGTACAACTAGTGCTAGACTTGTATCTAATCATTTAAAATTTTCAGAGCAGTTGGAAATAATGTTACCTTTTATTTTGCTTTTCATTCTTCGTTGTTACCTTATAGAAATTTAGTTAGTCTTTTCCATGTGTCTTATTTCCTGCAGTCTTACTGCAGTCATTCATTAGTTCTGCTTTTTCATTTAATGTATTGTAGCTTCCTTGGGATTTTCTACACAGAGAGTTATGTCATCTGCAACTACCGTTGCTGTGTGTGATCAAGTTGATGCCGACTCACAGCGCCCCTAGAGGACAGAGTGGAACTGCCCCACAGGGTCTCCAAGGCTGTCAGTCTTCACAGAAGCAAAGCCCAAACCACACCCACTGCC